ATTAAGCTTTTCTTAATCTAACTTTAATTTTTATAAAAGTTGATCATGTCAAGCATCTATTTAAGAGGATCTATTTTATTTTTAAGAAAGAAAAATTTATGTCAAATCCAAATATATAGAATATCTCAATAAAATGTACAAATACCTTCAATTCGATATAAACAAGTAAAATTGAATGATGTGGTCAACTTAGTTAACAAAATCATAAATGCTTGATGTGTTAACAGCAACACTAAAGCATTGCTACCAACAAGAGTTAACATCTAAAAGTTGTATACTACTTTCTGACATGTTTCCTTTAAATGTGAACAAATCTAGTGTCATTTAAAGTAGTATTATTTAAAAGATTACAACTGCATACGATACTTATGTCCATGCAGAAATGAAGAAAGTAGAATGTATGCTGGTTCACATAATATGAATATAATGTGATATAATACACACACATATTACATATGGATTGAAGACTGGGAAACTCTCACCATTCCAGTGATAATTAGATCTCAACATTGCTTTTTAAAATTTCACCTCTTGAAAGAATTTTTTATTCGAAATGGTTAAACGGATCATGAAGTCCCATAAAGGGCTAAGGAAGAGAGTGAATCTTGAGCCACATGATTGAAAGTCAAAATTCCGAGTTTATTCATTTATCAAATCATATCTTTGGTAGGTTATTTTTAAGCCCCTTCACTTGCAAGGTAGTGCCAGGCTCTTAGAACCGAGGGGTTATGCATTAGAACAGATGGCACTTTCAGTTAGAAATCACCTATTTTTAGTACAGAGTATGTAGTTCATATCTATAGAAATTATATCTATATAATTGTTTAGTCACACCTTTAGTAATAAGTCTATATTTACACAAAGAATCATACAAAATGTTTTTCTAAATCATGCCCCACCCCTTGCTATTAAAATGAGGAATGAAGATCTAGATCCATAGATGAAATTCACAGATGGGATTTTGTATCTGTGATTGGCAGTCTAAATGAGATTCAGCGTCAGACATGCAGCACCATTGGCAGAGATAAAGCATCAAATGAAAAGTCAGGGGATAATGGCCAGTTGTGCATATCATTATTTTTCTTCTGCTTTCAGGCAGATACACACTGTAGCCGCTGCCACTCACTGTAATTACTAGGCCTGGAGTGACACAGCAGGATATTGCTCTGTGAATTGCTAAGCATCCTTCAGGCAAAGACAATAATTACAATATTCTGATTTCAAAATGATAATATTTTGGGCTCAATACTGTGATATAAGAGGATCAGAATACAAAATTAATTTTTAGAACTGCACTATGCCAAATGAAGCATCTTTTTATTGTGCCATTTAGTTACTTCTACCACTTATATGTCATACAGCCAAGTATATGCATATTAATGTATGGTATATTTACATGTGCAGTATGTAATTTTAATGTGTATTGGTGTGCATATGTGTATCAAGAAAAATAACGCTTTTAGACTATCCCCGTTACTATTGACTAATTGTTCTCACTTATTAGATGTAATATCTCTGGGATCGATTTATTTACTTTTTGCATAGGTAAGGGTGAGAGATAATTAAATGACATAAATTTAATATTTACAACGTTTCTACTTTTGCCTAACATAGTGCTAGTATTTTTATGTACTTTATTTTGTTGAATTCTCACAAAAATTGACTAAGTATGTGTAATTATTTATAAAGCATAATCAAGATGACTGAGTTTCAGACTCCTTCCTTATACCATACACAAAAATCAACTCCAGAGGGATTAAAGACTTAAATGTAAAACTCAAAACTGTGAAAACCCTCGAAGACAACCTAGGCAATACCATTCAGGACATAGGCACAGGTGAAGACTTCATGATGAAAATGCCAAAAGCAATTGCAAGGAAAGCAAATATTGACAAATGGGATCTAATTAAACCAAAGAGCTTCTGCACAGCAAAGGAAACTACCAACAGAGTGAACAGACAGCCTACAAAATGGGAAAAAATTTTTGCATGCATCTGACAAAGTTCCAATATCCAGCATCTATGAGGAAATTAAACGATTCACAAGAAAAACACAACCCCATTAAAAAGTGGTCAAAGGACATGAACAGACACTTTTCAAAAGAAGACATACATGTGGCAAACAATCATATGAAAAAAAGCTCAACACCACTGATCATTAGAGAAATGCAAATCAAAACCACAGTAAGATGCCTTCCCACACCAGTCAGAATGGCTATTATTAAAAATTCAAAAATAATAATAACAAATGCTGGCAAGGTTGTGGAGAAACAGGAACACTTATACACTGTTGGTGGGCGTATAAATTAGTTCAACCACATCAAAGACAGTGTGTTGATTCCTCAAAGACCTAAAGACAGAAATACCATCTGACTGAGCAATCCCATTACTGGGTGTATACCCAAAGGAATATAAAGCAGTCTATTATGAAGATACATGCACACATATGTCCATTTCAACATTATTCACAATAGTGAAGACACGGAATCAACCCAAATGTCTATCAAATGACAGACTGGATAAAGAAAATGTGTTACATATACACCACGGAACACTATATAGCCATTAAAAAAAGAACAAGATCATGTTCTTTGCAGGGACATGAATGGAGCTGGAGGCTATTATCCTTAGCAAACTACCACAGGAACAGAAAACCAAACACTGCGTGATCTCACTTATAAGTGGGAGCTAAATAATGAGAACACATGGGCAAATAGAGGGGAACAACACACACTGACTAGGGCCTATCAGAGGGTGGAGGGTGGAAGGATGGAGAAAATCAGGAAAAATAATGGGTACTAGGCTTAATACCTAGATGATGAAATAATCTCTACAACAAATCCCCATGACACAAGTTTATCTGTGTAACAAACCTGAACATGTATCCCTGAACTTAAAATCAAAATGTTTTTAAAAAAAAAGATCACTGAGTTTCCAGAAGTTAAATAACTCCCTGGAAGTCAAACAGCTAATATAAGATAAAACTGTGATTCTAGGTGGGTTTTCTTTGCCTTCTAAATCTATGATTTTTCAGATGCAAGTTGTTTAAAGCAGGGGACCCCAACCCCTGGGCCACACAGCAGGAGGTGAGCCAAGGGCAAGTGAGCGTTACTGCCTGAGCTACCCCTCCTGTCAGATCAGTGGCAGCGTTAGATTCTCATGGGAGCAAACCCTGTTGTGAACTGCTCCTGAGAGGGATCTAGGCTGCCCGCTCCTTATGAGAATCGAACTAACGCCTGATGATCTAAGGTGGAGCAGTTTCATTCCGAAACCATCCCCACCACCAGCCCATTTGTGGAAACAATGTCTTCCACAAAACCGGGTCCCTGGTGCCAAAAAGGTTGAGGATCGCTGATGATCGACCTAGAGTGGAACTAGACATGTAAAAGAATCACGGTTTCCCTAGTAGTGAGATGTTTGCTATAATATGAAGAGGCTAGTTTTGTTTATTCAAAAGATTTGTCAACATTAGGAAACCTATTTGATATATTTTTGGAGCCCTTCCTCTGTTCCCATTTAGTTGTATTAAAATGTAATGCACCAATACTGGCTGTTCAACTGGTTGGCTTAAAATTACCACACTTCTCTGACTTTTCACCTGTTTCAAAACTTTATATCAATGCTAGAATCATTGTCCTTCTCAACCTACAGCATTCATATATAATTTAGAGATCACAGACTCTAATGTTTGTAACTTTCAGAACTATGTGTGAACCATATTGAGTGTGAAATAACAGGGAGTGTGGTGCCTGTTGTAAACTGGAGCCTGCAAGTTCCTTGTGAAAGGATTTAGATCCAGTTACAAACAAACAACATCTTAACCAAACAAAACACTCAGATATGAATTAATTCAACCCAAGGGATCAAGTATACAACACTGCATGAAAATTAAATGTTGATAGATACTTGAGTACCTTAGAAGTTAGTATATTAACATATTATCAGGATCCCGTTAAATACTATTCTATTTCTTTAATTATTCCTTCTGTGAGCACCACTATTTTCAAAGACAGTGAAGGGATGCAGGCTCTGATACTTGTCTTCAGAAATACTCCTTTAAACATAAAAGGTATAACGAAGCCATGCCTCAAGACCTGTTTCAAGGTCAAATATGGTTATCCCTGTTTTGTAAGTGTGAAAATTAACTCACTGAGGAAACTTAAATGCGCTATAAAAGACTTCTAAGAAATTCAATTACATGCTTTGGAAGTCTAGCACTTCAAAGTTGATATTAGAGATTATAAAGGTTTTAAAGTTCATGAGTTGTTCTTTGGGGAAAAATACTAGAGAAACCATCAAGGTTTTGCAGAGGCACTGCCAGAGTTTCCTAAAGCTCACCCTCAGGTGCGAGAGCCATCGGGGGTGTTGATCTGGCCTTTGTGTCTGTCCAGGCATGTCTTCTTCCCTGCCTCCTCTTCGTTTGCCTTCCTGAAGTTGTGATCTCAGGGGATGAGGTTCCTCTTCCAGAACAGAGGCATAAAGAAGAACCTCTGAGTCAAAGTCGTTGCATGTGGCTCTTTACTCTTTCCTGTAACTTCCATATCCAATCACGATGTCCTGGTGGCCTCTGTGTGTGTGCACTATACAGAGCTCAGACTGTTTCATGCTTGCTTCAAATGAAAGGCCAAGCTCTGTGGACCACTTTTCCATCTTCTCTATCTTTCATTTTGTTTTTGCTATTTCTCCCTGTTCAGCAGCTTCGAGTGAATAGATTGGATTACGAACTGATGCAGACCTATGGGTTGTTGCTAGGACAAAAAACCCCAGGCTTTGTTTAGAAAATGACATTTGTTCTCCAGCTTTCTCCTGAAAACATAAGAGTCTCTCCTTTTTAAAATTTTTCTTTCCACTCAGAAACCATGGTAAATATTTCAATTCATTGGGTAGAACTTAGTACAGGCTGTCTTAGGCACAGTCTTTGTTTCAGGGGTTCCTCTGGAAGCTGATAATGAGGAATCTCTGGATGCAACCTCAGCTGCATGTGTTACTGTGTTTTCACAGGAGGCGATCGAGATCGGATGACAGCAAATCATGAGAGCTACCTCCTCATGGCAAGCACCCAGAATGATATGGAAGACTGGGTGAAGTCCATCCGCCGAGTCATATGGGGACCTTTTGGAGGAGGTGAGTGTACTTTAAAATCATGGAAAAACAGAAAGGTAGACCAAACCTGTTCATCCCTTTCCCCCAGCGAATGCTACTATTAGCTCCTGTATTCAAGGGGGTGAATGTTAAAATAAATTGTAAATTGTTCAACATTATTTTTAGACAAAAATCCTGCAGGTTTAATTTAGATCATGTATCATTAATGACGAACCTTCTTCTGTGAATATGCTGAATGATAAAAATTTTTTTTTTAGTGGGTTTTTTTTAGTTTTGCATTTTCCCACGTTACCAACAATACACAGTTATGGGACTCACACTGTAAAACTAGATCAGTTAAGAACAGCTAGACATGAAGTGAGAAATTTATGACTAGTGGTTCTGGAAGATATCCCAGCCCCCAAATGCTCAATTGTATCAAAGAGGAATGCCACAACTTTTGATAATAATCTGATGATTATTGGAGTAAAAACATGCTTCAGATCAGTTAAGTGTTTGTAAATTTGAAAGTAAGTTTTTAAAAGGTTTGAGTTAACATTGGATTGAGAATGTACCATGTCAAGAATGAGCTAAAAAGATGCTATGAATAGAATTAAACAAAGGAAGAAAAGATTAAAGATGTGATCTTGGTATGCCAAAAAATAGAAAATAGAATCATATAAACAGAAAACTTATCTAATGAAAATGAGCAAATGGACCAAAAAAAAGCACAAAATTATTTATCTACAACCACAGTATATTTCCAAGAACATAATGCCTAATTTTTATACGGTGATATAGTTAAAAATAAATTGTATTAGGTCAAATTTACACTTTATAAATAATTACAATCCTTATATTTATTTTCCATTCTTGTGTATATTGTCAGCACCCTGAATTGAGAAAGTGATTTTTTTATCTCTAAACATATCAGATGTTTCTTAGACTGACTGACCATTTTACATTTTAAAATAACTTCAGAAGTTTAGTTTTAAAAGTTGGTAAGTTAAAGTTAAAATAGTAAAGATTCATTGAAAACATGATATTTTACTAGATTAATGGCACGTGTTTGTAAAGTGTCTATGTTTTAACAGTATCTTCTGTTAGGGAAAGGGAAGGTTCCTAACCAGGATGACCATTCATTCCAATTTCCTTAGTAAGAGCGGTTTACAACTTTTGTCCCAGGCTAATTACTGATCTTGCTACCTTTCACTCCCACGGTGTTCGAGTTTGGATGACAACACATACGGTTACCTTATTCATAACCCAAAATGGCTAGCAAGTGACTATGTAAAATACTTGAAAACACCAGCTGAATCCCCACTCCAGTATCTTAACAGAGGACTCCTCATAGTTATGCAGTAAGGAGTTCCCCTTTATCCATGGTTTCAGTTGCCACTGGTCAACTGCAGTCTGAAAATATTAAATGGAAAATTCCAGAAATAAACAATTCATAAGATTTAAGTCGCACGTTGTTTTTAGTAGCATGATGCAATCTCATGCTGTCCTTCCCAGGATGTGAATCGTCCAATTGTTCAGTACATTCACGCTGCACACACTACCTGCTGCCCATTAGTAGCCATCTCAGTGATCAGATCGACTGTCACAGTATCACAGTGCTTGTGTTCAAGAAAACTTTGTTTTACTTAATAGCTGACCCGAACTGCAAGAGTAGCTAATATTGGCAATTTGGATATGCCTGCCTGCCTGTCTGCCTTTCTTCCTTCCTTCCTTCCTTCCTTCCTACCTTCCTTCCTTCCTTCCTTCCTTCTTTCCTCCTCCTTCCCTTCTTACCTCCCTTCCTTCCTTGTTTATTTTTATACTGGGTTTCTGTTCAATTGTTTTTGAGGCAATTTTTATGAAAGTGTCTAGTCCAGAATCTGAGATCTGAGGAGAGTGATAATTCATTAATAGTGATTTTGTTTTTCGTTTTTTGTTTTTTTTTTAAAGACGAAGTCTCCTTCTGTTGCCCATGCTGGAGTGCAATGGCACAATCTCAGTTCACTGCAACCTCTGCCTCCCTGGTTCCAGTGATTTTCCTGCCTCAGCCTCCCCAGTAGCTGATATTACAGTCGCCTGCCACCACACCCAGCTAATTTTTTTGTATTTTTAGTGGCGATGGGGTTTCACCATGTTGACCAGGCTTGTCTCAACCTCCTGACCTTAGGTGACCCACCCACCTCAGCCTCCCAGAGTGCTGGGATTACAGGTGTGAGCCATCGCGCCCAGCCCAATAGTTCTTGTAGCTCTGATTGCTTAGCTACTGATTGTTAGCTCTGATTGTTAGCTACTACTAAAATCAGATCTTTCCCGTATATTTCTGCCTTCTAATGAAAAGAGTTGATTCAGAGACCCAGCAAGGCAATAAGAATACTATTTGTTAATAATCCTTACGATGAACAATTGGCATGTAGGCAAACAGAGGTTAATTAAGAGGTAACGTGTTCTTGCTTAGCCACAGACCAAGTGCACAATCTTGGATGTGTAGTTTTACTTCCCTTACCTTTGGTTTTACTCACTTGTGAAATAAGAAAATTAGAAGAAAAAAATGCTTTCACTTCCCAGCTCCAAAATCCTGTGATTACAGGAGTTCTTTGTAGATCAGTGCTCAGGTCAGTGGATTTTTCTGTTGGCTGAAGTGCTTGAAGGGCAGCACTGTTTCTCTTGGTGGTGCTGAATTACACTTTGTGGTTCTTTATTTTCTAGCAGTGTGCTGTGACACAGAAGGTAAAATACCATTTGAACAATAGGGCAGAACTAAATAATAATAATCCTTTCAACGACAAAAGATTCCTACATGGTCATGCTAGTCCGAGTAATGATGTTTTTAATGGAAGAACCTTTTTAACACTCCTCATGGTCTTATAAAGCTTCTGCTGAATGTCTGGGAGGGAACACAGTGGCCTTGGGGGTCAGCTGGGGTTAAGGCACTAACATCCAAATCAGTTCATGGAACAGCCAGGTGGATGAATGATTAACCCAGCAAGTAAATTGTTCAGTGAGTAGGACTGAGAGGCTTGGTGGACATGGGGGCTGGGGTGCAGAAGGTATGTGCAAGAGCATGGACGAATGTTGAAAACAGAATTGGTTTGCAAACTATGCCTGGAGAAATATATATGTGTGTGTAAATACACCCACACAAATATGTGTTGATGTGTTTGCAGCTTTACCCACAGACTCTTTGCCACTGGACTTTAAATACTTTTCTGTTTTAGGGACATACACATATACATGCATAAATACATTTTCAGGGTATGCATGTTAAATCAGTGCTCACAAATGAATTCACTTACAAATGATTTGGAAAAAAAAGTAAAACTTGTATGGGAAGAGAATAAATGCAGGTATGAAGGGGCAAAAAGTTTACCCCCTGGGGGTTGGTTTGGTGCCCTGTGATTTCTGAAGGGGCTGAGCCAGCCAGCTGTAAAAGTGTTACACAAGACAAGAGCTGGGAAGTCAACACAAAGTCAAAAGAAAAAGAAAAGGGTTCACACCGCAGCGTGGCATTCTCCCTCCTCCCCTCATCCTGTTGTGACTGCACCTGCTGCATGTGACCGGCGGGCACTGGAAGCAGCCGCAGCCACACAGCCTTGGTGAGGAGCCACCACAGCCCTGCCAGCTCCCTCCCAGCTCTCATTGAGAAAAGGGGAGACGGAGCAGGAGGAGGGGGAGGAGACGCTCCCTGCAAAGCTGCCTCCCCCCGCAGATCCAAGGAGCCTCTTGGAATGGGCACTCGACTGTTCTGACGTGGTGATTCCCTCAGGAGTTTGAAGACAGAAAGGAAAGGGGAGAAGCCTGCAGAGAGCATCAAAGGATGAGGGGTGCTATAAAAGGAGCAGGGGAGTCCTTTGAAAGAAATCTATCATGCACTGAAATGCTTTCTGGAGAAGGTGCCATTATTTTCCTCCCCTCTTGCTCAGATGAAAGGAGCCAGCAAGGACAGTCCTGAAATTTTCCTCAGGGGCCTTTTTGTCATTGTTCCTCTTTCCTCTTGCACAGGGCTATTTGCTGACCTTTCCAGAGGAATCTCAGTCCAGCTGAGAAGACAGTTCTTAGTAAAAACAAAAAAATACAAAAACCAATTCCTGCTGTTTGAATGAGAATGGTAGCTTGCTTGCTGCAGTTCTTTTCCTGTGACATTTTGGAATGTCTGCAGAAACTTAAAAAAAAAAAAAAAAAAAAAAACCCTTAAAAACTCCCTGGATTAGGCAAGAGAAAAGGAAGTATTTTTGCTAAAAAGGAATAAATGAGAGGTGGTAACTTATCCCTAAGCCAGGACCTGGATGATCAAAACCTTCAAGTTCTAGGAATCAGCACTTCAAAAATAACAAATAAACAAGCATGAGGAGTGACTGTGGGGTTTCGCTCAGAGGCAGGTTTTAAAGGAAGTCAAAACCGGGTTCAGAACTTCGGGCCTGTATGATGCCTGAAGACCGGAATTCTGGGGGGCGCCCCGCTGGTGCCTTAGCCTCAACTCCTTTCATCCCTAAAACTACGTACAGAAGAATCAAACGGTGTTTTAGTTTTCGGAAAGGTAGGTAGATGATATGATCATGTCCTTTTTATAAATACAAGTAATATTCATATTCTCTTAAGTTTTAAGGTCTGTTTATGCTCAGATAAAATGGGAGTTTGGAAACCAAGAGCTTAGGACTGTACGAGAGTGATTTGTGTGTGTGTCCTTGCTTGTCTATACTTATTTTCCGAGGTTCATTTAAATCTGTGTATTATTGTCTGTAAATAGGTGGGGTAGGTGGGGCTTAAAGAATAGTGATCCTATGGGGATCACCTTGACTGACAGGGTCCTAAGCAAGCTGGGCTGACCGTCCTCAGAGGAGGGACCAGAGTGATCTTGGGCCCTTCCTACACCCGAATCAAGCAACCACGTTCTGACCCCTCAAAACAGAGCCCTCGCAAATCCCTGTGCTGTGTTCCCGTCACCTTGGTTTTGATTCTGGCTGCCTGTACTTGCCTCACCTCCCCTGTTGAGAAAAATTTGATAATAGAATTATCTGGTTTTGATTCTGGCTGCCTGTGCTTGC